CTGATTCTCTTTCCAAACCATCCAGTTTCCTTATTGTTCCCTGTTTTGGAAAAGAGACTGAAGAAACGTGAAACAAATTCTTTGAATTAAAGGAATAGTTCATGCCATACAAGGTGTATATAATTTTGTTTCTTCAGCTGAACAGATTTGGAGAAATTTAGCATTAAATCACTCGCTCACCAATGGATCCTCTGCAGTGAATGGGTGCCGTCAGAATGAGAGTCCATACAGCTGATAAAAACATCACAATAATCCACAAATAATCCACATGACTCCAGTCCATCAATTAATGTCTTGTGAAGTGAAAAGCCGTGTTTAAGAAATAAATCCATCATTAAGCCATTTTAAACTGTCGCTTCTGGTCAAAATACGAGTTCATAAACCAAAATAATGCCTCTAGTGAAAAAAGGCCATCCCCTGTTCTCCTCTCACATCAAAATCCACTGACATATTATTTGTTTAGAACTCTTTTGGACTGTTTTTGCTTGTAAAAAGTGCTTGATCTGTGCATATTTCTCTTCTGATTCAGATGAGATGGCTTTTTCAATGAAAAAAAGCAACGTCTTAGTGATTGAATTGTTTATTAGAAATGCAGCTTTTCACTTCACAAGACATTACTTAATGGACTTAAGTCATGTGGATAACTTGTAGATTATTGTGATGTTTTTATCAGCTGTTTGGACTCTCATTCTAACGGCACCCATTCACTGCAGAGGATCCATTGTTGAGCAAGTAATGTAATGCTAAATTTCTTTCAAATTTTTCCAAATCTGTTACAATAAAGAAACAAACTCATCTACATCTCAGATGCCCTGAGGGTAAGTACATTTTCAGCCAGTTTTTATTTTTGGGTGAACTATTCCTTTAAGCTTTGTGTTGTTATAGATAGATGTAAGTGAGTTGCTGACTGCTGTACAGACGTGCTGGAGACTATCTGTGAACTTCAGGTTAAGCTCTGTCACCTGATACCGCTGCCTCTGTGCGCTGTTAGTTTGCTGTTGGGTTTCCTCATTAGTCTGGGCGCACACATGGGAATGGAAATCAATTATTTAATGCAATCACAATGATTTATTCATGATGTCGACCCATCGTGAGGAATCGCCTCACCAGGTAGGAAAGAGCTCAGCATGCTTTGTGGTGAAAGCTGGCCAAATGGTGGAAAAACACCAGTCATTCAACCATCGTCCTTTGTGCATTTGTGTTAAAGTCAATCTCGAGTTTTCAACTCGTTATACTACATTTTACAGTAAAACAGTGAGGAAAAACATAGAGTAGAATATAGAACAGGACTTGATTTTGTCTATTTAAAATTATTTCAATTATTAAAAGTGGGCGTTATATACCAGATTTAGCCTGACCACATGCACATGTATTAAAACAATGCTTAGCTGTTGGATAGAAACATCTACACCTTCTTCAGTACTCATTTTATCTTAGGGATATGTCTGTCAGATGAAACATTTCTCTTAACCACACTGGATTGTCTTAGTATGCTGTGAAATGTGCTGTGTTAAAGGGAGGTGTGGCTCTAGCATTTTTGTGTGGGATGCTTGTTCTCTGGATCGTGTTAGTTGAAGGCAACACAAAGCGTTGTGACAGGCCGAATGAGTCTGTGCTGATTGGCAGAGCACCTCGGGTCTACTTCTGCGGCCCAACTGACATTCATAAAATGCTGGCGGGTCGTTAAGGGTCAGAGGTCGCACATGCTTGAGATTACAGCTTCGCTGTATCCTTGTTATTAGGAAAACAAGGCCCACCGCTTCTTGTCTAGCCTTAGTTTAGGTTCATTTAGAGTCTTCTGAAGACTGCAGGCTGCTGCTAAGTATCCCATCGGAGTTTAAATATCCGGCGGATTCCTCAGCCATCTTTTTTTCCCTCTCCGCTGCATTCTGTGGTTTGGCATTCCCTCGAAAACATTCCATCTGTGGGGGTTGGACCGGGAAAGTCTGATCCTTCTAGTGAGGGGAAAAAAAACAAACATGTGGAGGAAAGTGGGAGGGTTGAAGAAAGGCCCCGTTAGCATTTGCTGCAACTTCCAGTGAAAGTGTATGATGGTTTAGGTGTTCATGTCCAGCCAGTTTTATCGCAGCAGAGTGCTTGTCTCTACCTTACAACTTATAGTTTCATATTTTAGCTGTAGAATCAATCCCCTTTGGCTGTCTTGTCCTGCCCAGCAAGCTCGTTTTTTTTTTTTTTTGGCTCTCCACTGTGGTCTGCTCTGTTAAGCAGTCCTGAATCTTTTGCCTGAGGCTGACCGATAGCTCTGAGGCTCTGTCCTCAGGAGATGGACTTGTAACAGTAGTATGTGAGCACAGCTGTCTGTCATGCTGTCAGGACTGTGTGTGTTCTGTGTGGTCAGTCTTGTGTGGGACCCTTGAGCCTGGAAAAGGGAAGTGCAAACGCTGGCATCGGCATTTGCAAGTATTTGTATTTGTCAAAATACAAGTCAATAATAATAACGCTTCCTCCAGTGAAAAAGTACATCCCCTGTTGTCTTTTCACATCAAAATTACTTGACATTTGTTTTGAACTGTTTTGGACTGTTTTTGCTTGTAAATGGTGCTTGATCTATGCTTATTTCTCTTCAGATTCAGATTGGATGATTTTTTTGTTTTACTGGAGAAAGCAGTCTTGCAGTAATTTAGCCAGAAGCAACTGTTTGAAGTTAAAAACTGACAAATTTGTTTATTACAAACATGCAGATTTTGTTTCACAAGACGTTAATCGATGGATTGGATTATAGTGTTGTTTTTATCAGCTGTTTGGACTCTCTCTGACGGCACCCATTCACTGCAGAGGATCCATTGGTGAGCAAGTGATACAATACTAAATTTCTCAGTTTTCTTCATATTTTAATTATTGGGTTATCTATTCCTTTAAATAAAAGTGACAAAATCCCAAAAGTAAAATGTTAGTGGAACTATTGTGATTGAGGGTGGATGTGGTAAAGCAGGGGGCCTCTTTGCCTATTTGAGTTGAATGTCTGCAGGAAATGTCAATCCCAGTGCCCAATCTTTAGGGTGGAGTGATAGTGTAGGAGTGGAGATTAGAGACAGGACAAGACATGGGAGAAACCTTTCCACCAAACACGATGTGTAATGTGGCGTGAGGCGATACGGAGTGGAAAGAAAAGACACAGTGGATGTCTTCAATTGCACACTGCTATCAGTGTGTGTGAGAGAAATGCAAACCACTGCATACTCTGATAAATGGTTTGTTGATATTACTGTTGATCCGATGTCTGTGTCTGATCGGTGTCTGCTCACATTTATAGGCCCGTTGGAGGTGTTCAGACTGGTCTAATAGGTTTCAGTTGATTGTCATTTTAATATTATATTGCCATATCAGGCATGTACAAAGCCTGCAGGCCTGATGGTAACTTCATTCTTGTGCAGAAGTTCTTGTAAGAGCCTTTAGATTGTTCACTACTGCATGGTGGCCTGTTTGCAGTCTGTTCTCATGGGCCTGCCCTTTTCACCACTGTCCCCTCTTTGTGCCTGCTTTCCCATCATGCCTCTGACACCTTCTACCTCAGAGCCTGATCCTGCTTGTCAGCCTTTTATGTTAATATGCAGTCTTTGTGTCCTAGTGTCATGCTGTCCAAAAAAACATGCTGTCCTCTTCTAGTATATAAATTGGTTGATCATTCTAAAAAGGAAGTGACAGCACCTTCTGTTTCACGTCATAAGTTCATGAAGTTTGCTGTCTTCATGTGGAAATCAGACTAAAACATGCACAAAAATATGAATACTACCATCATTGTCATTGTACATGCCTAAATTGTCTTGTTACACCTGAGTGCATATTTTTGGCAGTAACGTTTTCCTGCAGTGTAAGGGAAAAGGGTGCTCGTAACCATGGTGATGCCTGCAGACATATTCATGACTATTCTTAAATTCATGCCCTCTGGCCTTCCTGAACACCTCCTTTTACCTTCTCCTTGTTCCAGCATTGCTCTTCTAACTGCTTTTTTGGTCCTCTCTGAGGTGGGCGGATAGCATGAATCCCTCTCCTCTGGGACTTGTTGTTCAGTGTGGTTGGAGAGCGTGGCCTGTATTTACCCCGGGGTCTCTAGAGAGCTGCTCCAGGTGGAAGTAATAGCCATCTGTCTTTAGAGCTCAAACCCTCAGAGATGTAATGTCCTGAGTAGATTCGTACAGCTGATGTAGTGTCTTGAAAAAATTTCTGGAGAAGTCACACTAGGTTTTAGAGAAGTGTTATGATCGTTTATTCATTTTGTGTGTGGATAAGAGTATAGCCTGTCATTATCTAAATCAGTCTGTAGTTGGTTTCATTCATTCTTTCATTTGTTTTTATTTTATTTTATTTTATTTGTTTTTGTTATTGTGTTGTTTTGTTTTTTTTCATTCATTCATTATTCATTTATATTTGTTTTATTAGTGTTAAATGTATTTATTTATTTTCAGTTGTTTTGTTTTATTTGTTTAGGTTTTATGTATTTTCTTCATTCTTTCTTTCTGCCTTTCCTTATTTATTTATTCATTCATTCATTTATTTATTCATTCATTCTTATGTTCTTATTTTTGTACTTTATTTTTGTTTTCATTTGTTATTAGTTTATTTTGTTATTGTGTTATTATTTTATTTGTGTTGCATTTATTTATTTATATTTGCCTTTATTTGTGTTTATTTGTTTAGGTTTTATTTTCTTTCTTTCTTTCTTTTCTTATATCTATTTATTTAAGTTTTTATTTATTCATATCTGGTTTTATTTTTTTATTTGTTTATGCTTTATTTATGTTTGTGTATTTTTGTTTTTGTTTATTTTTAATTTAAATTAAAACATGTAAAAAATATATATTTTTTAAAAAAGTAATTAAATTGACAGACTTAATATATTATTTTAAAATGTGTTAATTCTTATATATTATATCAGATTAACATTGCCAGATATAGCCAGAATTTTAGTTCTGCTAGTTTGTTGCAAGCGACCGTTATTTACATAAGCTTTATCTCTTATTCATTTGTTTTATCTGTAGCATCTCCAGATGACCATCCAGGCCTTCCAGGATGAGCTGCGGATCCAGAGAGATCTGAACCAGCTGTTTCAGCAGGACCCCAGCGCTCATCCCGGCGAGCCCCTGACCGCCGAGCTGACCGAGGAGAACTTCCAGCGGCTGCACGGTGAGCATGAGCGGCAGGCCAAGGAACTGTTCCTCCTGAGGAAGACTCTGGAGGAGATGGAGCTGCGCATCGACACGCAGAAACAGACGCTCTGCGCTCGAGACGAATCCATCAAGAAGCTCCTGGAGATGTTGCAGAGCAAAGGGCTGTCGGCCAAGGCCAGCGAGGAGGACCACGAGCGGACACGGAGGCTGGCTGATGCTGAGATGCATATCCATCACCTGAAAAGCCTTTTGGAGCAGAGAGAGAAAGAAATGGTCTTGCTGAGGGAGGTGAGAGTGCTAGTGAACCTCAGAAAACCATCAAACAACACTTATGCAACTTTTAACCTATTAAATGGATAGTTCACCCAAAAATGAAAGTTTGCTGTTAATTTACTCCAAGATCTAGGTGTCTTTTTTTTTCTCTTGAGTAGAACAGTAAAGAAGATACAGTAACACTTTACTTAAAACCTTTATGTAAAATGCGTTATTAAAGAGTATAATGCATTGTAATTATTCATAATTTGCTTTGCAAAACATTATATCGTGTCATAAATAATTATAATTGAATTTAAAATGCATAGTCTAACAATGTATTGTTATAATTAAGTGTTATAATGTATTAAGTGTGGTTACAACTATTCATGTGATTGTACAATGCATTATAAGGTGCATTACAAGGCATAATTAATGCATGAAAACTACATTTATAATGCATTATACATAAAGGCTTTAAGTAAAGTGTTACCGAAGATTCGTAGCTGAAACCGTAGTTGTTGTTGAGCGGCTTCCCGTTTTTGAAAATAAAAAAGCTTATCAAGAAAAACAAAATTAATACACGTGGCTCAATGACAATATATTGAGGTCTTATAAAGCAGAAACTGAACATTATTTACAACATTATTAACTGTAATCCCTAGCCTCAGGCAACCACAAAATCATTTTTTCTGCAAACTTTCCATTTTTGATCATAGACGTGAAAATGCACTATCCAAAATTAAATGGTTGCAATTCGTGAATGCTTTGGAATATAGTTGGTCTATTTTTTTTAAGAAGACAATCAGCAGATTATTGCTGAAATTACATTTCATAAAAAAAATTTAATTATTAAATATTTATAGAAGTTTAAGATTACTGAGAAGAAAATGTAATGCATTAATAAATATTTTATGTAAAACAAATATTTTTATAAAATATTTTGGAGTTCATAAAATTAAAGCCATATTTCTAACTAAGTTATGTTCCAAATTTGAAGTTGAGATCACAAAAATTGAGGTTCCTGTGACATTTTGTTTAGGTGCTAAACCAAAAAAGCCAATGAGTGACACCCATACTCAACTGATTTAAAAAAAAAAGTATTTTCCTTTCGCAAACTTGTTTCCACCACTGAATAAAAATTGTAAAAAGGTAATTGCGACTTTTTATTTTGCAAATCTGACTTTTCTCACAATTCTGACTATTTTCTCCGAGTTTTTGCGAGTTATAAAGTCCAATTCTGAGGGGAAATTGCAATTGTGTGTTTTAAAAAGTCAGAATTGCAAGATATAAACTCACAATTCTGAGAAAAAAAGTCAGAATTTCGAGTTTATATCACGGAATACTGACTTTATAACTTGCAACTGCGAGTTTTTATCTCGCAATTCTGATGTTTTTTGATGAATAAAAAGGTAATTATGACTTTATCTCGCAATTCTGAATTTTTTTCTCAGAATTACGAGATGATAAGTCGTAATTACCTTTTTATTTTTGTATTCAGTGGCGGAAACGGGCTTCCATACAAATGCACACATTTCTGTCACAATATTACTTCTGTCACAAATATGAACTCTTGAGACCCTTTTCAACAATGTTTCGTCAAGATTAGAATACGTTTTGATGATAAAATATTATATTAACCTTTGTATTATGACACTTGACACAGCTCACTAGAAGGTGGAGCCAGCTAAAATAATTTAAAGTACCATTTCCATGGTAACGCAATTTCCTAGTTCAAAACCACTTTCACAGGATGAATTTTGAGCGTTCGAATGATATATCATGTTTACTAAAATCGCTGACAGTCAACAAATAGAAAAGTGTATACAGATCTGCTATTCACTAGCATTAAATGTCAACTTAGCAATTAAATGACTGTTGTGGATTGAATAACAGAACCAAACAGGTGCTCAGGGAACGATGCTGACAGCACTTGGTCATTTATCCAGGGATGATTCGCAGTGAAATGTTTTCGCTAAGACTCCCAATTATGGTGATGATGAATCAAGGGCTCTAGATTAGTCATTTTAAACTGCTCCGGACGAGCAAGCTTACCAAGAGAGAGCGAGAGAGGGAAACCTGTTACAAATTGAAGGCATTGAACATTGTTGCTATAGAAACGGGAGAGACTGAAAAGAACATTGATGAAAGGAGACAGATGTTGCTGACTGCAAAAACTGGTGATGTGGCGGGAGACACATTTATCACATTAAGTTTAGGAGTTTATCTTAAGGAGTGAAGCTGACTGAAGTTTATTCAAGTTCAACTGAAATTCCCAGTCAGTTTTGATACATAATAGAGTTTAGTTTGTAATACTTAACTCGGAAGAGAATTAGCTTCCCTTGTGATTTTCTAATAGGCTTATAGTGTAGCAGTTTTTGAATTATAGGTAAGATGAGACATTCATGTTTTGTTGACAGAAATATGGTCATACCTCAGACGTTGCAAGTTGCTAATAAGTTGGACTCATGGATGTGATGTGAGTTAATGTCCTTAATGACTCAAGCAACCATTTTAGTGCTGTCAGGAGGCTGTTATGTAGTTTTTAAAGGAGTTCTGTCTGGCATTCCCTCTTTATATTTTTGTCAGTCATCTTCTGAGACAGCCAGCAGTCAATAGCAGGACTTTAGCAACGGTGACATCTAGTGGCCAGTTAATAAAATGACACAATCAACTCCCATTGCACACAGTTTATCACATTTTCTCAACTGGTTGTGGGAGACAATATGCAGGACTTTGAAAGGAATTGATCAAAAGAGCAGACAGTACTACACTCCTGTTAGTAGGGACAGTGAGATCAGGGTTTTCTTTCTTTCTTTATTTACATAATGTCCACCTAGCATGCTTATTACATGGCCACAAACAACCCTTTGTTTGTCTGTCAAATTCTTTGTTTTTGAAAAGTATTTTATATTCTATTACAGAAATGCAGTAAAACAGAAATATTATTACAATTTCAGAATGATTTTCAGAATGAACGTTCATATCAGAATGATTTCTGAAGGATCATATGTATATAATTGGAAATATTTAATTTTTTTCGAATATAATTTATTTATATTATATGTATTTATATCTTTTTTTCAAATGTTAATTGAATATGATGTTAAAGAATAAATTACACTCACTCTCACACACACACACACAAAAAATAAAATAAATAAATAAATAAATAAATATATATATATATATATAAAAAATTTTTGTGTGTGAGTGTAATTTATTCTTGTGATGGCAAAGCTGAATTTTGAAGGTCACATTTTTCAGAAATCATGCTGATATGCTTATTTGGTGACCAAGAAACATTTAATTTTATTATCAGTGTTGAGAACGCTTTTGCCACCTAATATTTTGTGGAAACTGTAATACATTTTTTCAGAATTCTTTGATAGATAGAAAGTTCTAAATAACAGCATTTATTTAAAATATTATTTTATGACATTATAAATGACTTTGCTGTCAGTTTTGATCAATTTAATGCATCCTTATAGTATATAGTGCTGTGGTCTCAGTGAGTTTAATGCCGCTAAATGCTGTGGTGCATGATTAGACCATTACAGGTGAAGTCTGGGCTAAACTAATGATTTGGACTGAGATCAGAAGAGCATTTGAGGTTATTTATTGGGGCCTCCAGTTGGACTTTAGAGAGCAGGGGGAAATAAACTAATAGCCCTTCTTTTAATCTGGTGATTTAAAATTCTTCCTTTGCCAACGACTTACTGTAACTGTTAGTAAAAATGGCCATGTCATGGAAAACTGGAATTTTCCCCTCTTTCATTCTTTTAAAAACATTCGGTGCATTAAATAGACATACTGTAATGTTCACACTGCAAACCTCCCTCCCAAAACCACCCAGATATTTCAGTGCCACTTCTATATTCGGCAACAGTGTTCATTTACATATACAACTCTTAAAGGTACAGTGGGAAAACAGCCCTAAATCATATGTTTATAAGTAAATATAATACAAACGTTTTATTTTCCATCAGCATTTTTGATTTCAGCAGTGTCATAACGTCCTGGGAACAGATAGTAATATTGTAGCTCTGTTAGATGTGAATGTTGTACAACAGCGTTACATTCCCTGAAGCACTGATGCTCTGCTTTCCATATGTTTCCCATGACTCCACATGTGTAGATGCATGGCTGTTTTTCCATGCCTGTCTGTGTGCGTTCATATCTGATGGCTTTGGTGTTTGAATGATATTTTTGAGGTCTTTAATTGCCCGGAGGGTGCAGGCTGGCTGCATCTCTTTGTGTTTGGTGGACGTTGCATTCACTCTATTTGTCAGCTGCTCGGAACATTATCTTTTTCATAAGGGACTCAGTCATGCATTAAACACTCAAACCAGAGGACCGAAAGTGTCTCTTCTGCTTCAGATGCAGTGATCTCAATGTGCTGAGTTTATAATCTGGCCATGTAAATTAGAAGTCTGGGTTCTTTTATTATCAGCGTTTGAGCTGGACATAAAGTGGGGTGGTATGGATCCGCATCAACTGATGGCTGCCGGTAGAGGAAGCTGTTATTATCCTGTGGTTTCACCTCACGATCCTCGTCTCATGTTTTCTCCTCAGGATCTCCACCGACGATTTGAGGGAGCTCCAGAATCTGCCAAAACCAAGGCCCTGCAGACTGTCATCGAGATGAAGGCAAGTGTGTTTGTGTGTGTTTGTTGTAAGTAAATCCCAAACTTTTGGGTTCTTTCTAAGTAGGACAGGTTGCTTTAAAAATAATGTTATCTAAATTGCAACTTTCTCATATTCCTGAAACTGTCATATTGGGTCAGTTTTGTAATTGAACACTACTGCTCAAAAATTAGTAAAAAAAAAATTTTCCCAAGGAAATGTATGCTTTTATTTATCAAGGACACATTAAACTGATCGAAAGTGACAGTAAAGACATAATATTACATAAGATTTCGGTTTCAGATAAATCCTGTTCTTTTGAACTCTCTGTTCATCAAAGATTCCTGAAAAAATACATAGTTTTTTTTCTACAAAAATATTAAGCAGCACAGCTGTTTTCAGCACTGATAATAAAAAGCAGAAAATCAGTATATTAGAATAATTTCTGATCATGTGACACTGAAGTACCGGAGTAATGAGGCTGAAAATTCAGCTTTAACATCACAGGAATAAATACATCTTTAAAATATATAAAAATAGAAAACAGTTACTTTAAAGTGTAATAATATTTCACAATATTACTGCTTTTTCTGTATTTTGATCAAATAAATGCAACCTTGGAGAGCATAAGAGACTTCTTTCATAGACATAAAAAAAATCTTACCCACTCAACTTTTGAACGGCAGTGTATTTGTCCTCAGTTTTTTTTGCAAGTAAAAAATATTTTAAAATGGTATTTTAAAATGTTTTGTATAGCAGAGATTAGAAGGGATCGATAGTATATCTGCACAATATAATTTATCAACATTATACTAATTTACTGGTATCTGCCAATATTGATTAATTATTAATGCAAACTCATTTCCCATATTTTTACATTTTAGATTACCTTTGCTCATATAGATTGCCTAATGCTCACTTAAAGTTTCATTGTAAAAACACTAATAATTTAATCACAGTTAAATGTAGCAAATGTCTTTAGTAAATCTCAAAATGAACATCCTTTTTTTTTTCTTACTGTGCATTATAAACTCGTGGTGGCATTTCAAACAGATTTTAGATTGATTTTAGTGTGTTTTAAGCCGTTTATAGGTTATTGACCGTAACATGAAAGCAATTATTATATTCATGTTTCAAACCAAAAGTTAAAAACTGTATAAAAAATAGATAAGACACTCCATTCCTCGGCTTTGTCTGTCTCCTCCTCAAACATCTCTGTGATCTCTGCAGGACTCTAAGATCAGTTCTCTGGAGCGCAGTCTGAGGGACCTGGAGGACGAGATACAGATGCTCAAGTCAAACGGGGCTCTCAGCACAGAGGAGAGAGTGGAGGAGATGAAACAGATGGAGGTCTACCGCAGTCACTCCAAGTTCATGAAGAACAAGGTAGAACCTGCGGCTCATGGGAACTGCAACTGTTTTGTTTTGGTGCTTTTTTAACCTGTGCAGGTCATGAGTTATTTGAGCACAGATTTATTGTTTTTGCCTCTTTGTTAGGGTTGAATATTACCAGGCGTCATGTGGTGTTGCTAATATTTACTCTAGCACTTACTTACTAGCACTCTACTCAAATTTTTCGTTTTATCTGGTCAAACCTGGCCACTTTTGACCTGTTGCATTTTTAACTGTTTTTTATTTTTCCTTTTATAGTATTTTTTTTATTTATTATTTTTTATATTTAAAAAAAAATTAAGTATACATTTAATTTTTATTCTCTATTAAAATATAGTTTTTCTTTAGTAAACTTTCCGTTTAGTTTGAAAAACAAAATCTAATTTTAATCGCAGCTAATTGGCTACATCATAACCGCATGGCCTGTGCGGTGAATGCTGATTGGTTTGGATTGCTGATGACATCACGTGATCGTGGGTGATGTTTGGTTGGACGCAGGGTGTGCATGCGAGCTGGTGATTGGTGGTTGTTGCAGTAACAGCGCCCTCTCCTGACAGGTAGAGCAACTGAAGGACGAACTGGCGCAGAGCGAAGCGCAGGGCGAGGAGCTGAAAAAGCGGGTGGCTGAGCTGCAGCAAGAGGTCTCTGCCGTAAGAAACCCAGAGAACCGGCTTAGAACACGCACAGCTCTGCTTCCCTCACCAGAGAGAGCCTCTGTCTCACCCACTCAGAACCCAGATAGAGATTCACGCTAAGCCCGCTGACTGACTGGCGCTTTAGCTCAAGGCCTTTTTTTCTGCAAGAGATTCGCTGTATATCTGATTTACAGAAGCCTTGAAGGGCAAGGTGAATTAATTATTGTAGATATTTTTTTAATAGCTAATTTCATATATTATTTAAGCCTTCTGCTCAAAAGCTTTTTTTTGTAAAAGGACAAAAAAAAATCCCAATGATTTTACCACATCCCCCATATTTTTTTTTCTTTCGCAAGTCCAGGTGCTCTGGACAAAAAATCAGCGTGCCCCTTGTTATCCTCAAGTATAGTGGAAAACAGTGCAGAAAGTTTGTTGAGAAAAATACATTTAGCAAATTTTGTTTGCATACATCAGAATATGTAGGGAAAAAGAATCTCAGTTTCACAACAGTTGTTCCCAAAACAGTTGTTATATACATGTATAAATATAAATGAAAAAATATGTTATGTTATATAAAAAAAATATATGGTATAAAAATACATAAAATATTTAAAATGCCAGTTTTATTTTAGTATATAGTATTTATATAGTATTTATTAATTATTTGAATGAGCTTTTATTTTTGTTTTCAGTTTTCATTTTAGTTTGTTAAAGTAATTGTTATGCACTTTTTTGCTTTTCTGTCTTTTTCTGTCAATTTATATTTTAGTTTGTTTATCTGTTCATCTATCTACCCATCTATCTCTCTATCCATCTATCTATCCTTTTTTCCCCAATTTTATTTATTTCAATTACTAAAAATCAATAATAGTGTTAGTTTTTGGTAACAATAACTGCCTGTATGTATCAGTCACATTTTCTATATCGGTGTGTTCTCTCAATATTCTGATTAGTGGTCAGTCAATATACTGTAGGTTTTTCATACTGACCACCTCAGTCTTTTTTTCCATATAAAATTCAGCTTAAACAGAACTTAAAAAGGAAGTCATAGCAAATGTGCTCTTGGACACAAAGACAAACAGTCCCAACACTTGACAGGATGATCAATGATGGGAGGGAACAGTGGAAAAGGTCCCAGGCGGTGAAGGGAACTGAAAATATTCGCTTTCGAGTCTCGACTGCGTATCAGTGGCCGTCTGTCATCACAATAACAGGATCGGTGGGCGGCAGTGGTTCAGGCCGGCGGCTGGAGTCTCAGGGTTTCTCTGATCAGGAAAGCAGAGTTGCCCAATACTGTGCCGAAAGGTCGGATGCCACACTAGACTCCCACAGTGCTTTTTACCCATCTCGCTTTCTTTTTCTCTCTCTTGTTTGGAGCGCTGGTTGGAGTAGAGCACTAATGTCCACGAGGCTTGATCTTTCTCTCTCTATCACTCTGAATTGTCTCTCTCGCCATCTCCTGTGCCTGTACACGCCTGTTTTCACTAAGGCGACTGGCAGAGTAGAGTAACAGCTTTAGGCCATGCTAACCTGCTATAGCTGCCCCAGTGCATGCTGGGAATGTCAAGACTGTGTCTTTAAATTGGAGATGAACACTTGTCTGTTTTGTAGCGTCTTAACTCTGTTACTGTCTGTTTATGGAAAATGTATTTAAATTTGTACTTAATTTAAATGCTTGTGTATCTTGCAAGAATGATTTTTATTTTGTGGATGTTTGTTTTTTTTGTAAAAAAGATTGAGCATTATGGAGTTTCATGTGTCCATCTTTTTTAAACTCAATACATCAAGTTTTCTATTTACAGGAATTGCTGTATGATAAAATAACCTGGTAATGATCTGTGTTTCTGCAATGTTTAATTCAACGGATTTGCAATTTAATTAGTCTAATATGTGTTTAGATTACCTTAAAACAGGGTAAAACTCCAACATCAGACCTGTCACTACAGATTTCATTCTGTTTTATGATTTTAAAGCAAAACATTGCTGCATTTACATTCTGCAAAGGCTTTTTTCGGGGAGATTGTGTTTGAGATTTGACCCGAGCTTCGAGGTCTGGTTTGAAGGAGAGTTTGAGTTTTCCACATACTTAGACCGAATGTTTGTCTTGTACAGATTGACCAGGTGAAGCAGGATCTCTCCAGGAAGGACACTGAGCTCTTGGGTCTGCAGACTAAACTGGAGACGCTCGCCAATCAGTTTTCTGACAGCAAACAGCACATCGATGTACTCAAAGAGTCTCTCACTGCCAAAGAACAGCGTGCTGCCATCCTGCAGACTGAGGTAAGAGTTACGTTATGGCAATGAATTGGCACTGTATGGTTGTATAAAAAAAGAAATTCCCATATTTGTGAATTATATGTCCCCTTATATATATATACTTTTTCTACCAAATCGGTAAGATATTTAATAGGAGAATTATGCCATAACTGGATTTATTTCCCCTATCCATTCCAAGTAATACTCGTTGCCATTGACATATTTCTGACATAAGCTCATCTAGTTAGCCAGTTAGATAACTTTAGATTGTTCTTTTTTTTAAAGTTTATTCATTGCATGAATTGGTTAAACTGGTTCACAGAATCAACAAATTGATCTAAATAAAGTGATCTTTTAAAAACGTACTTAAAAAGACTGGGAAGAAACTGGAAGCATAATGAGCATTAAGCCAAATTCATAAAAATAGGATTAATTCATAGCAAAAAAAAAATTAAGTTTGCAAGACGTAAAAAGATATATGTGATCATCAAACACACCAATTAATTAATAAGCGGCACTTAAAATACAAAAATACTAGTTTTTTTTTAATAAATACACCACCATAATGAATGTAATAAAATACAATTTATGTATTTTATACTCTTAATATATAAATTATTCACAAGCTTTATATTCCATTTATTATAACTGATAGAAATAATGTTTCTTTTTGTCTTTTGTGTTGATGAAATGTTATTGTATTTTATGTATGTCCCTGCCTGACCATTAGGGGGCACTGTTGTATCAAACATGTTATTTGGCTGTTGTGAAATTGTATGAGCATGAATGGCTTCTTTGTGTGTGCTTTTAATTCTGTAGTTAGTCTATCATCACACTTTTTATCATAATCCAGTGTTACCAGTGCCAGCATGTGATTCATGGAGTTTAGCTGACGGTTAATGTCAGTATTACTGGGTTCCTGTACATTGTCATGAATAATACCGTTTTAATGTACAATAAGTGTCAGTTCATGCATCTGGATGAGCTTTGTGCCTGTGTATTTCAGGTCGATGCTCTGCGTTTACGTCTGGAGGAGAAGGAGGCTACGCTTAATAAAAAGAGCAAGCAGATTCAGGAAGTGTCAGAGGAGAAGGGCACCCTGAACGGAGAAATTCACGACCTCAAAGACATGCTTGACGTCAAGGAACGCAAGGTCAACGTGCTTCAGAAGAAGGTAAATGATAGACACCGCAGCAAAATAGTTTGTTGCTTAAAATCGAATTGCTCTCGGTAGGAAATAAAACATTGTGGTCAAAACAATCTTTTGCATTGCGGCAGTGTATGCATTTGTAAACATCATTGCGGCCTTCAAACGGGTGTCATTTTCTCCTGCTGAACGTAGATGGCACTGTTAGGCCACGTTTGATGAGCTCTGGCGAAATGCTTGAGACCAGCCTCACCAAATATCCCTTTGTGTAAATTTATGATTTCTAAAAGTAGGGAAAAGTTGTGTTTGTGATGGCGATGGAGTCTCCTGTTCTCAGAAATGACACACACAGGCCGTTAACCTCAGGCTAACAGCGGGTGCCAAGGTTTATACGTCTGTTCTGCATCTTTCATATCCATGCAACAGCTGTTTGCTTCTGCCTCGAACCCACGTCAGATATACAGGAAGCCGTAGGTTTCGCCGTTCCCGCCGACATCGCTTTTCATCGTCAATATTTAGGGTGCAGCTTTGAACTTCATTTCACAATATACAATCTTTGACAGAAATCTGCACTCAAACGGTGCCAGGTCCAAACTATCGCTGACATGTTTCCAGCTCGTCGTACTGTACTCTTTGAGTTTGTCAGAGGCTGTTTCCATACGGATTGTCTGTAGCTGGTCGTCCCATGAGGCAATGCTTCGGCGGTCACATCCAACTATCAGTTTCAGTTCTTCTACGCTGAGATCACGGTCTGTGCAAACAAGCCCCCGATCCACAGGCTCATTAATCTTGAGTTAGGGATAGTCTGAGTGCAGAGAACCCACCGTGAGCTCACCTTTATTGGAAAAACAGGAAGTTGTGTATCTCTCTAATGGACATTCCAGGGATACTGTTGCAAATCATGCTCCTAAGATCGCTGTAACTTGTGTCATATGTTATTTTACAACCAAGTTTCCCCAAAAAGCACATGGATCATTTGCAATAAAGTAAAACTCAAGTAAGTTTGCTTGAATGGCTAAAAGCTCTACCTCTTTGAATTATGCTCCTTGTTTACAGGAAGTGGCTGTTGACTGATAATCGTTACCTTGAAAGACCTTTTAAGGTTGTAAATTGTGATGTTTTTTTTTCATTTCTAATACAGATTTTAGGATATCGCTCAAGTCAAATGCTTTTTTTTTTTTTTTTTTTTTTGCAGTTGCAAGTTAATTTTTTTTATTAGTTTTATATTCATAAAATAATGTCTAAATGTGTTCAAATCCTTAGTATTTTAAAAATAATTACACACACACACACACAGTATTTTAAGGATTTTGTGAATTTTAAACCAATTATTTTGTATACTTCCAGTATACTTCCATGTTTTATTAAAGTGAGTTGTGTTAAAAATAAGAAAGCTCTATTTACATCACATATAAACCGATTATAGTGATAAAACAGTGCTTGCATACTTGCTGTTTACCCTGGAAGACCTTTAAAGGTTGTAAATAACTTTCTTTATTCCAAAAACAGACTTAATGATACCACTTTAATGTAAAATTCTTGTTTTTTGCACGTTTCTTTTTTGTTGTTGTTATTGTTATATTCATAATTGAATATGTACATTTGTGAATTTACTTTACTTTAAATTATTATTATTTAAAAAAATATATGTAACATTTAGAAAAAAACTTAAATTGTAAATTGTCTTATTAAAGTAAATTTTTTTAAGAAAAGCACATATAAGCAGTTTACAGTGATAAAACTGTGCTTACATACTTTCTGTTTTTGAAAAAAAAAAATTTACATTTAATTTAGGAGTGTTTCATATATGAAGACCTGACACTCTCTAATCGTTGTCTTTTTTTCCCGTTATTGTTTTAGTTTCTTTTTTTTTGTGTCTATTTTCTTTCTCTATTTGTCTCAACCGCTTTGCTTCTCTTCACAGTTTGAGTCTGAAAGCCTCTCGGAGTCATCAGGGGCACGATGAACGTTTTTTTAAAGCCAAGTGCTCTCCCAAGCCATAGAAAGAGAAACATTTAGTTTCCATTATAGTGCCTGAGCCACTCTGTATTGCCCCAGAGTTGTTCCTAATGGCCATAACACATTGAGACAGTGCTGTGAAGGTATGCATGGGGCTTCTCAACAGGACACCATTCAACGCACAGGTCAAACACGAGAATACGACAAACTGTACAGAGCATGCAGGATTACATCCAGTCAAGAAAAACTAGAGCATATGTATCATTTTGCATTTTTAGACACCTTTATTTTGCAGAATTCTTCTATAGACGTTTTTCCTGAACGTGGAAGTCATGCCTGACTCTTAACCAGAAGGATGCTTTGCATTTCCGGTCTCCAGTGTTTCTAGTCAAATTAGCGTGTATTTCCGAGCTGATAATCTAATGTTAATCCTATTTAAATGGGTTCCTATGGAGACCGGAACAGAAGACAGAAGAAACAATCCGTAGTTAGAATTTGTAATGGCGGCACTCATCGTTTACTCAGGAAAAAGGTCTATAGAAGCCAAGAATTTATCATGTTGATACCTTTGAACATTTAAGACTAAACTTCCTCCTCAGGTCGCCTAGACTGTTTATGGAAATGTGTGATTAAGAAATAAATATGATTTTGGCATCACAACCATCAGCTCATTAACATAAGACTTCCCACATTTATATAAGACTGTAAATTCATTAATTAGAAACTTGCCCTCTCTTGATAAATGATTTTTGCACTGCTTAAGATGTCGGCCAATCATAGCAGAGCTCATTTGCATATAGAATTCTGCAAGATAAAGGCTGCATCCAATGTTTCTCATTTCTCAAGTATTCAATGTCGGATGTAGCCAAAGTAGCAAAGAGTGCCCGCTTAATTCCAAGGGTTAGTGAGAGTGGAAAATATAATGTAAAAAACTAAATTCGGTCTGTTTTTTTATGTTAAAAAACTGAGTAACATTACAAGCAGACTTAAAAAATCTAATGCTCCAGACGTGTAGAATATGGCCACTAAATAAGCTACACTGTTTAGTTCTTTCAAACAACACTTAGCACTGTTACAAAAATGAGCTTTGCTAGACGGTGTGTGTCTGTGTATACAAGTGAGTAAATGAATAGATACACAGTGTCCTGTGAAGTATGCATTCGTTCTCAGAGGCGGCCTAGCTTGGGCTGGTTTCTTTTTTCTCGCACTCTCCTTTAATGTCTGAACATCATTTTTTTCTCTCTCTCGGAGCTGTTTGGCTTTGTAATTGTTTTCCCAGCGGCTCTGGTTCAAGTGCGAAGCTTTCTGCCTTCTCAGTGGCACCGTTTGCCTGCACGGATGTGAGCGAATGCATGCCGAACGGAGCAAAACACCTCTTCCAGCGGCAGCCGAGAGACTGGGCCCGCTCTTTTCCTTCTTTGTTTATATTCAGTGTTTTGTGTTTAACCGAACACTTACCCTTTAACAGCCTGGAAAATAACAATAATTTAATTTGCAACTGTCAGATAAGGTGGCAGACAGATCCGCAGTGGAAGCGGCCGAACTAAATATTGAAAACAGCGGTTTGGATGGGAATTCTTTCGCAAGTTCACTGCAGGACAGGCTGCAGAAAATAACATTTGTTAATGCGAGGAGGGCGGAATACAAGACGCAGTTCAGCAGAACTCGCTCAAGTATGTAAACTCCAGTCGAATGTCTTGATGGAGAGCAGCTCTCTTTGGCATGAGAGGGTCGCCAGAGACACTCTGTCTTATGGATGAAATGTCCTGTTTTTTACCATGTCTGGGGGTTTTTAGCATTATTAAATCCAACTAGGGTTGTGCTTAGTAAAAATAAGGCTATCTGCATCTTATTTTGAAACAAAATGTTTAAATTACAGCGCATGAATTCTGTTCTTCAGACCACACCAAAGAAATTAAACCTGTTTGTTGACTTTGCGGTCAGAGTTTCGCTCTATCCAGATGTAATAAACACCCAATATTAAGGGTTGCTCAAGGAATTTGTCTGCAAACTTTCGAAACACAATCCGGGACGTTGAGGTTCTTGCAAAACTCTTTTATTGAGATGCAATTTCATGAACCTCATGAACTTTCAGCAAGTCCAGCAACTATATTTTTCTTAGAAGTAACAGCCTGCTAACTTCTGAACAAACTTGACACTTTGACGACATAAAAACTGTTGTCACGGTACAATGTGTGTTGGACTGCACTGCTGTTCAAAAGTTTGGGGTCAGTATGATTTTATGTTTTGGAACAAATTAATACTTTTATTCAGCAAGGATGCATTAAAGTGATCTAAAGTGACAGTTAAAGGCGTTTATAATATTATAAAATATTTCTGTTTCAAATAAATCCTGTTATTTTGAATTTGCTGTTCATCAAAGAATCCTAAAAAAAAAAATGTATCATGGTTTCCACAAAAATATTAAACTATTTTCAACATTGATGATGATAAGAAATGTTTTTTGAGCCTCAAGTCAACATATTAGAATGAATTCTGAAAGCTAATTTGACACTGAAGACTGAAGTAATGGTTGCTGAAAATGTAAAGTATATTAAATACATTTAAAAATTATATTTTATAGTTGTAAAATATTTTAATTAAATAAATTACAAATATTACAAATATATTAAAATCCAAAACAGTTCTTGTAAATTTACATTTGAAAACATTTACTGTATTTTTGTTCTCAAATGCAGCCTTGTTAAGCATAAGAGACTTTTTCTTACCAACACTAAACTTTTGAACAGTAATGTACAGCAAACCAAAAGAGTCATCATTGTTGTTTTATTTTAACAACAGTGATTTAAAATCCATACAGCGGTTTGTGATTGACTGAAACCAAGTTTTTAGTTTTTGCGCCAGTAGAATTGAGAGTTTTACTTCATTAACAATGACTCACCGCACATGTAACGTTTCAACATGTATTATGAAGTGTATCGTGTTCCAGTATTTCATCGAAGGATGTCCCCATGCGCATTCACAGAGGGTTTGGGCTAAACCCTGAACATTCACTGACCCCACAACCGCCCCCGTGGATGAAGAGCTTCCAATTTGCTACACTTTTA